CTGAAACCAAATCAAGATTCCAAGGAATAGCACCCCAATTCAAATCAGATGCCTATACGCCTATTCCCATTTCCTCCGCAAATCTCTCCCAAATGTCTTTCTATCAGTAATTGTGCTTCAACCCTAACCCATGCTTTCCGCGAACACAACCAGGCTTCACATACAAATAAGGCGGCCTCTTGGAAGTATGCATCTTTGCACACGCCCTCTTCCCCAACTTCCTCATCCTCTGCCTCCCAAATTTCCCACTAACCGCCCACGGCACCAATTCGTCATCCAACCCATACGCCTCATCCCCCTTGTCATAATCCTCATCCAAATCTTCCTTCTCTTGATGAGTGCCCCCATCATAGTACGTACCATACTGATCGAAAGTACCACCACGACCCCGAATTACATCAAGGGTTTCATCAACGCCACCAAAATCATGAATAATCCCAGCCGATTCCTCCACTCCGTCAAGATCTTGAATCGAACCCAAAATATGATCGACCCCATCAAGATCCTGAACTGGACCCAAGGTTTGATCAGCTCCGTCATGACCTTGAACCGAACCAAGACCTTGATGGTTCCCAGAGGAGGAAGAAAGAGCTGACCGCTCCAAGGAATCAGCGTCGTCATCATCGAGGGAAATGACGCCGTCGGAGTCAGTATCAAAGGAGCTGACGACCACCCACTCATCTTCAACGGAGAATTGCCCGGTGGACGGAGTTAACTTTGCCATTTTCACCGGTTAATCGTTTTGTTCTTCTGCTCTGAACGTCTTCAGATTTTAGATTGAGCCCCAAATTCTTAGGAGGAGCTGACGACACTTTAAGGGGAGTTGCGACGTCATCGCGGTTCATCTATTGGTCCACGTGGAAGATAGTCAACTTTATAACTACGTGTCAAAAGCACACTCGCTGTTGCGTTTCGATTGAGGAAATTAGTAAAAAAAATAATATTAAAAAGGCCAGAGTTGACAGGAAAAAACGGTTAAAGTAAAATTGAGGTCCTTCTACTTTGACATTTTGTACATTACCGTCCTTTGTACCAAGGAAATATTCATACTCATCCTTCTAATTCAACTCTGGAGTGAATGTAACCCTTGTACAAGTTAAAATAAGTTCAATGTCGTCCTTCGTAAGACAGACGCCCTTACTAACCTTACCTGCGAAAGGTCATCACAGACTGAGATTTGAATGCCACTGCACTACTTCTAATCATTGATAGAGAAGTTGGCCTTTAAAATCAATAGAACAGCCCTCCATCAATAGTTGAGTAAAATAAAAAAATATTTTGTAATATGAAATTAAAAAAGAAAAGTTTACGCAATTTATATTACGCAACATAAACCATTGAATGAGAGTAAATCCCCTAATAATAGGGTTTGCACCCCTCATGCGGTGGTATTGTTTGTAATCCAGTCTCCAATCGTTCTCATTTGCAATTTGCTGGAATTCAGATTGCTAAGCAAGAAAATAAATTAAAAACACTACAGCTATTTAAAATGCAAAAAGCTACTACCTCAATTCCAAATTAGAAACAATCAAAGGTACAAGTACCTCAGAAATAAGCAAATTGAAAATTGACATGTTCAGTGGCATTTAAGTGCTACCTATGATCTTCATCTAATTTAAAAAGAGCCCTCTCAGCCATCCTCGCCAATGAACAAATGACAAGGGTGGCCAATTCAAAATTTTCAAACCGTTTATACATTGAAAATTTGAAATCATAACCAGCTAATTTAGGGGAATAGAACAAAGGAAGTAATGCAGATACCACAAACAAATAAATTTCTCAACTCTTCTTCAGAATTCTTACCTGACACCTAATAGGGATATGATAGCAATTGACAAAAGATTGGCTCTGCTATCAAAAATATGGTCAATTTGATAGAAGCTCCACATTTAGCAGCCCAATCATCGTATCTGATATGGAGAACAGAGCAAACCTGAAGCATCTGCCCCAACGACTGCAAGGTCGCAAACGGCACACAACTGCCCCTCCTGGCTTGGTACAAATCTAGTGCTACAGTATGGACAGGAGACATCCTTCTGTCCTCGGTAAATTGGCACATGAGTTGCTCCACATACCACAAATGGGTTTCGGAAGTCATAGTTCAGCTGAGTGGCATCAGTCATATTCCTCTCTGAAGCCTGCAGCACTTGCCTAGCTGACCTTGCTTGGTTCTCATTGGTTGGATTTGTTTCTAGTAGACGTCTTGCAAAGTTAGCTGCTGTAGCCAGGTTCCTTGCCTTGTAGCAGACAGTCATTGCATTTAATAAAGCAAGTCTCAAGTGAGGCATTTGAAGGTTGCAATGGGTGAAGTAGGAAGCAAGCTCCTGTTGTCGCACTGGATTATCTTTGATTTCCTTCCTTGCAATCTCCATTTTAAGACCTAGAACATACTCCCTGACAATAACAATCAACTCCTTAACTTCATCAACTTCCCTCCTTGTCTCCACTACAATCAATGGAATTGTATGAAGAATGCTACGGAAGAGCTGCATAGCCTCTCTGAACTTTCCACCTGTTGTGGCCTTGTAACCAGCCCTGAGCTTTTCTTCCAATTGAGAGAAATTGAATACAAGTACTGGAGGACCCCTCACATTAGGACTAGCTGACTCATTCCATCCACGTTCAACAGCAAGGGACACCACTGGAGCAGATGAAGACGCACGAAGATAGGTATGGCTGCCAGTGTGAAGATCCACAAACAAAGATTTCATTGGAGCAAAGTTTCTTATGCCAAGCTGCCTGCTCAGCAACCGCATTGCTGTATCAAAGTTGCCAGCAGCTGCATGCTCAGCAGCAAGAGATGATCTCTGAGTCCAAATCTGACTTACTGGCATACCTGGAGTTGGAGCCACGAAAACAGAAGATCGTGAATTGACAGAAACCCTTGGCGTGTCTGCCTCAGGAGGAAGATCTAAATCTTCAAGGTCCCATCCACCCTCTTCCTCATTTCCTTCAGCCTCTTCTCCATCCTCCAAAATTGCAGAGACATCCCCATTCTGTAACCCATCAGCATCAACCATATCAAGGTCTTCTCCCCAATCACCATCAGCACCCTCTTCCTCCTCATCCACATCACCCCTACCAACATTGTCCAGCCCACCTTCAAATATGCCTTTCATGACTCGCAATAGTGACCAATCTCCACCACAGATAACAGGTTTAGGGGGCATCAATAGAGAGTGTACTTTTCCCACAGGCAATGAAGGAACATTATCTCCCAATTCAGCTGCTAAACGTTCAGCAACATCCTGCAGCCCATGGACAGAAGCTGTAATATAAGCAAGAGGCAAGTGGCCAGCATTCTCCAAGATCTTGACACGTTCTTGAACATCGCCGAGATACAAGGCATTATGAAACTGACCCATCACATCGTTCTTAACCTCAGCAATTTTTAACATCTTCGAGAGCTTCTCTATATTTCCAGTTATTAGATAAAGGAAAGATAACCTCTCAAAATTTTTTGTCCTCTGATAGGCATATTCCACTATACCAGCATTGCCCTGACGAAGAGATTCCACACCCAACCTGTACCAGTGATCTTTCTCATCAATCACCTTAGCTGAGGCAACTGCAATTTGAATGTTTCCACTCTCCAGAGCCAAATTAAAGCGAGTTCTCTCGTCTTTAACAAAATGAAGAGCAACTTCAGGGAACCCCTTCTGTTGCAGATAAGCAATCATTGCCTGACCACAAAGCTGTGAGTTTCTTATCATGCTCATAACATGATCATATCTCTTCCGAAACAAAGAAAGCTTGAAAATGTATTCTGTTGCATCGATAATGATAGCTCTATTCTTTCCATCCCGATCCAAGCAAAAGATGGTATCCCCAGAAACCTTTGTCATGTATATAGGTACATCAAGTGTTCTAATTATCCCACTATCTCCATTGGGGAGGCAGTACTTGATATGATTCAGAGTTGTGTAAATGAAAACACCATTTTCATCCCAGGCCCCACTCTTTATACGGATTGTCTCATGAAGTGTGCATTGGTGCACAAGCTTCTTACTAGCGATGATAATGGCATGTTTGCTGAGCAAGGCAACAGTCTCCATGTCATTAGACCAAACAACATACTTGACAAAAGGAGTTTGGAGATCCCCCAGAAGAAGCCTCTGCTGAAGATCAAATATAACCACTCTATCCTCAGACCAGCACAGCAGGTTACCAGTTCCGGCATAAAATATTGCATCTGTAGGAATAGGTAGGCCACTTTTTTTAACAACCTCATTCTTTAGATTCTTAACCAGTACTTGGTTGTTGCTTTTGTCAAGTACAGCAAACCTATTACGAGCAATAAAGATGGCAGAGGTCCCAAGGCCTCTCTTTGCCTCTAGCATACTGTCACCCTTACCAATGCTGTCTTTTGGTATGACATACAACTCATAAGATCCACCATCCACATCTGAACAGATTAAAACAGCAGTTTCTGTTGGACTGTATGAAAGAGACCTTGGACTTTGATTCAGGCTTGTGGAACCAGGCCTTCGAATTGGAATTACTTGGCTGTCTCTTTGAGTGGAAATCTCATAAAACCGCAAAAAGCGATCCCTGCAGTAGAACAGAGAATCCCCACTCACCGCAAAAGCAGGCCTCTCTCTCTCCAACTTAAAGACAATCATGCCACTGTCATGACCTGCTGCCAAAAGATTCATCTCAGGGTGAGCAGCGAGAATCCAGAATCTGTCATGTTCTCGGCGGAAAGTTTGAATTCCAGTTCGCTTTGTTACATCCCACACACGAATACTTTTGTCCTCAGAATTGGATACAATTATGTCCTGTTTGGCATGAAACATAACACATGACACGTTATTCATGTGCCCTCTTAGTGTGTCCACTTCCCAAGCCTTGGTCTCTGTAAACAGAATGAATGATTATACAACTGAGTCTATTTTGTGGAGTAAAATTAAATTAAGGACTTGGTTGGAAAGTTTGGCATTCTGGCCTGCCAAAAAGAGGAAAATATAGCCACAACCCATGCCTCTAAATCTATTCCAATACCAAAATCTCAATCATCCATATTTGCAAGCCTTATATTTTTGTGTGTGGAAAAATATGATGAAGTGGTTGCTTGGCTCAAAAATCCAAATCGTATTGACAGCAAATCAAATATTGTTATAGACACCGCTTCAAAAATTCAGTATCTCAATCAAGTGTGTTGATAAGTATAAAAGTTCACAAAAAATTTTTAATGACCTCAACAAGAAGAATTTGAAGAGGAAAAAGGTCACCATCTATAGACAGCTAATAATAAAGAGGGAAGAAGAGACAGGTTTTGGATACTTACCATTCATCCTCCATAACTTCACTTGGCGATCATCTGCTCCTGATACAAGCAAAGGTAATGTCGGATGAAATGAAGCCCAGTTGACTCCTCGATCATGACCTTCTAATACATATTTAACAACAACGTCAATGCTGCCAAAAAGATCATTGTTCATCTGACTTAACCCTTCTGCAGGGGACACAGTCCTCTTTCTCAAGGCACCAATATCCCAAACCCGAATGGTCTGATCAAGAGAGGCTGACACAACGAGGTCTTCTTTAGGATGGAAAGAGGCACACATAACATAATGATTGTGACCGGTTATCACTGCAATGCATGTGCGTGACTGCCAGTTCCATAACCGAATAGTCTGATCATCACTGGCACTCACAATCCATGGACACTCATGATGAAACTGCACGGTGCGGATGTAATCGAGGTGTCCAAGAAGGGTGAAGAGACACCTATGCTCCTTGTAATTCCAAACTTTGATCTGGTAGTCATCCCCTGCAAAAGCAATCAAAGTTAATATGATTTTCACTATATTAGAACCCTACTATCACTAAGTGATTCAAACCTAAGAATATAAGAAAACAGAACATTTTGAACAATAAAATGGCCAGATTCAGAAATTACTTGTGCTGTTATTCCATACAGAATGATCTCAGAGGTTGTTAAATAACATATTACAAACTTCAACATTTTTCAGCAATGTGTCCAATACCACATGGTAAGTTGCTTCCTGTGATTGTCGTACACTAGACCAGATTGACCCTTTCTTCAATCAGATTCAAAGATAGGGGAAAACAATGTACCACGTCCATGAGTTCCATAACTCATGAATCATGATTCCCTGAGAACCTAGTTGCATGCAAATTTTCATACCAAAATGGCGTTTACACATATGCATTATGTATTTGTGATGTAGTACATAGGCATTAACTTTCACAGGCAAGTTACATCTAAAGGGCCTAAAACGCCAGATCACCTATTACTCCTATAGTCAGCTAAAAAGCTGCGTTCAGTTCAGATGCAGTATTTTCATAAGAATCAGATGAATGCCGCTTTGCCAACTTTTAACTCAATCTGATTAGATAAATGGCCCTATGCCAATGCATCAGATTGCTAAACAGACATCCATTACAGTAATCTACCAGCTAATCAGCAAGATTCCATTCAAATCCGCAGATCACTCGAACAATCGCCAACCATAAATAAGATTCAATAACACATTCCGAAAATACACAAATATACAATCAGGAAACAGAAATGAATATCAATACCTCCAGAGACGAAAAGCGGCTGCGACTTGTGAAAATGAACACCACGAACAGGGCCATCGTGCTCGTCGAATCTGTCGATCAGAGTTCCCATTCGGTAGTCCCATAGCTGGATCACGCCACTGTGAAGACTCGCCAGGATCCATGGCCTCTTACTATGGAAACTCAGTCCCTTGACTCTATTACTCTTCGTCTCAAACTTCGTCAACATCTTCTTCTCCAATCACCAAATCACTGCAACAATCAACGAAATCAAACACCAAACAACAAAACTGAGAAACATCAAAAACGAAGAACTTACCTCGGATCTGATCAGTGCATCAAACGTACAAGAAAGCGTCTGAGATTAAGAAGGAATCAAGCTCTGCGTGCGAGCTTTGGTGTGGATTGGTTGTGTGTATACGCTGGCGGAGAGAGCTATGAGTTCTCTCCTTGATCTGGAATGGTCACGGTGGTTCTGGGAATTTTACAGGAATTTTGGATGGGGACGGGGAGGGGTTTGTCATTTTGATAAAGATTGAGGGTACGGTAAGGAATTACAAATATTTTGCATTTGGGGAATTGTTAGCCGTTAGATTAGTTTTCGATGGTTGTGATCGCGTGAACGGTGCCAGTAAACATGATTTAGAAAAAACAGGAAAAAAATTGAATACGTGGCAAGTCTCAGGAGTTCGGGTGACGAAGTTTTGAAATTTGAAGTAAGCAATGAATATAATAAAAGTTTTTTATATATTAAATTAGTATAAAGGCATATGTTTTTAAAAAAAATTAATTTTAAAGTGTATATAAATAAAGTCGACAAAAAATAATGCTATAAAATTTGAAGATTAGTAAAAAGGCTTTTGTTGACGATTAAAAAGTATGATGAGCAATTCTTTTATAATTATAGAACTATAACCTTTAAATAATTGATTAATCAAAATTAAATGTGATTTATAATTTTTTGGTTTTGTAAACACGAGGATGAGAGCAGAAACTTACACTTCAACTAAGATGAAATTGTTCTCTATAAAACATAAAAAACCACTTGAACTACAAGGACACCATTTGAATTACGGGGACTTTTCATACATAGTCCATAATTTGAAACCAAAACCCCCCGGCTAGGATATCCACCATCAAATGTCAAGTACTTAAAAATATTAAAAAAAGAGAGTGGATTATAATTAGTAGTATCACCTAAGACTACAAAAAAAAAAAAAGAGTTGTGTGAATCATTTTGTAAGTAATAATGACATAACTTTCATTTCAAACCATCCCGTAATTCTTTGATGATTTTGAAATGAGGAGCTGCGGTGCTTCCTTCTTGTTGCAATCTGTTATAGCTGTTGCCTTGGGCGTTTCAGAGCAAGAATATATTCATTCATTACCAATTGATGTTGAAAATTCTTAGACGACGCCAGTCACCCCACACGCATGGTGGCAAACCAGGCTTGGAGATCAGCTGATCCTAGCTTAAGACCTTAAGCTTCCATTTTGACAGTCTCCAGATTGAAATCTTAGAACAGGTGGGAAGAAATTTGGGAAGGAAAAGACTATTCACTGTTAATAGTTTAACCTCAAGTAACCAATCTAGTAATCTCAAGAACAAGCAAACATGTCAATCTAAAGTAATTGCCCCTGGGTCACAAATACAACCTAAAGACGACCAGAATGAATATACGAGTAAAACACCAACAACAAACAAAAACACCAAGAGGTGAAAAGGAATTATAAGAAATTGCAGAGGTTCATATGGCAAAACAATGCTTCAATAATAAAACTAATATTGCAGAAATAGGACCTCAAAATGGCATCGGGATACATTGACATGTAACTTAAGTAAGTCCTACCTATTATTGTTCTTGCCTATGAACATGAATGACAAAACTCAAAATTCTCGAATTGTTTACAACACTGAAAATCGTAAGGAACAAAGCAAAAACCCCCAAAAAAAAAAGAAAAAGAAAAAGAAAGGAGACAGCACAAACCATTTATCTGGTGGTTTACTCTTTACTATTTCTAAACTTATACCTGCAAAGAATAAATCAACTGCATTGGTTCATCAGCCGGAAAAGATGAGAATGATAAAATCTGAAAGAAGGTCCAGTTTTAGCAGCCTGTTCATCGTATCTGTGAAGAAGAACAAAGCAACCCAGAAGCATCCGCACTGATCACTGCAAGATCGCAGACAGTACACAACTGTCCTTCCTGGCTAGGCACAAATCTACTGCTACAGTATGGGCATGATACATCCTTCTGTCCTCTGTAAATTGGCACATAAGTTGCCCCGCAAATAACAAATGGGTTTCTGAAGTCATAATTCAGCTGAGTGGCATCAGTCATATTCCTATCTGCAGCCTGGAGCACTTGCCTGGCTGTCTTGGCTTGGCTCTCATTTGCAGGGTTTGTTTCCATCAGACGTCTGGCAAAGTTAGCTGCAGTTGCCAGGTTCTTTGCCTTGTAGCAGACAGTCATTGCATTTAGCAAAGCAAGCCGTAAGTGAGGTATTTGAAGGTTGCAATGAGTGAAGTAAGCAGCTAGCTCCTGCTGACGCAATGGATTGTCCTTAATGTCTCTCCTGCTAATTTCCATTTTAAGACCAAGAACATACTCCTTAACAATAATAATTAACTCCTTGACCTCGTCTACCTCCCTTCTTGACTCCACAACAATCAACGGAATTGTATGAAGTATGCTAAGGAAAAGCTGAAGAGCTTCTTTGAATTTTCCACCTGTTGTAGCTTTGTAACCAGCCTTGAGCTTTTCTTCCAACTGAGAGAAATTAAATACAAGTGCAGGAGGACCCCTCACATTAGGACTGGCAGACTCATTCCATCCCCGTTCAATGGCAAGGGACACAACTGGAGCAGATGTAAATGCATGAAGATAGCTATGGCTGCCAGCATGAATATCAAGAAACATGGATTTTAGAGGGTTAAAGTTTCTGATGCCAAGTTGGCGGCTCAGCAACCGCATTGCTGTATCAAAGTTGCCAGCTGCTGCATGTTCGGCAGCAAGAGATGATCTCTGAATCCAAATTTGACTAACAGGCATACCAGGAGTTGGTGCCACGAAAACTGCAGACCGAGAATTGGCAGAAACCCTCGGAGTCTCAGCCTCAGGAGGAAGATCTAAATCTTCAAGGTCCCATCCACCCTCTTCCTCATTTCCTTCAGCCTCCTCTCCATCCTCCAAAATTGCACTAATATCTCCATTCTGTAATCCATCTGCATCAACCATATCAAGTTCTTCACCCCAGTCACCCTCGGCACCCTCTTCCTCTTCATCCACTTCATCCCTGCCAACGCTGTCCAGCCCACCTTCAAATATACCTTTCATGACTCGCAGAAGTGGCCAATCACCACCACAGATAACAGGGCTAGGGGGCATCAGTAGAGAGGGTACATTTCCCTTAGGCAAAGCAGGAACATTATCTCCCAATTCTGCTGCTAAACGTTCAGCAACATCCTGTAGCCCATGGACAGAGGCTGTAATGTAAGCAAGAGGCAGGTGACCAGCATTCTCCAAGATCTTGACACGATCTTGGACATCACCAAGATACAAGGCATTATGAAACTGACCCATCACATCATTCTTTACCTCAGCAATTTTTAACATCTTTGACAGCTTATCCATGTTTCCAGTTATGAGATACAGGAAGGATAACCTCTCAAAGTTCTTTGTCCTCTGGTACGCATATTCCACTATACCTGCATTGCCCTGTCGAAGAGCTTCCACACCCAGCCTGTACCAATGATCTTTCTCATCAATCTCCTTTGCTGAAGCAACTGCAACTTGAATGTTCCCACTCTCCAGAGCCAAATTAAAGCGAGTTCTCTCATCTTTAACAAAATGAAGAGCAACTTCAGGGAATCCCTTCTGTTGCAGATAAGAAATCATTGCCTGACCACAAAGCTGTGAGTTTTTTATCATGCTCATAACATGATCATATCTCTTCCGCAACAGAGAAAGCTTGAAAATGTATTCTGTTGCATCAATAACGATAACCCTATTCTTTCCATCCCGATCCAAGCAAAATATAGTATTTCCTGAAACCTTTGTTATGTATATTGGAACATCCAGTGTTCTAATTATCCCACAATCGCCATTGGGGAGGCAATACTTGATATGATTCAAAGTTGTGTAAATGAAAACGCCATTGTCATCCCAGGCTCCACTCTTTACACGAATTGTCTCATGAAGAGTGCACTGGTGAACAAGCTTCTTGCTAGCAATGATAATGGCATGCTTGCTGAGCAAGGCAACAGTCTCCATGTCATTAGACCAAACAATATACTTGACAAAAGGGGTTTGGAGATCCCCCAGAACAAGCCTCTGCTGGAGATCAAATATAACCACTTTATCCTCAGATCGGCACAGCAAATTACCTGTTCCTGCATAAAATATTGTGTCTGTTGCAATAGGGAGGGCACTCTTTTTAACAACTTCATTCTTTAGATTCTTGACTAGTACTTGGTTATTGCTTTTGTCCAGCACAGCAAACCTGTTACGAGCAATAAAGATGGCAGATGTCCCAATGCCTCTCCTTGCCTCTGGCAAACTATCACCCCTCCCAATGTTATCTTTTGGAATGACATACAACTCATAAGATCCACCATCCACATCCGAGCAGATTAAAATGGCATTTTCTGTTGGACTGTAAGAAAGAGTCCTTGGACTTTGATTCAGGCTCGTTGAACCAGGCCGTCGAATTGGAATTACTTGGTTGTCTCTCTGAGTCAAAAACTCAAAAAACCGCAAAAAGCGATCCTTGCAGTAGAACATTGAATCCCCACTCACTGCAAAAGCAGGCCTCTCTCTCTCCAACTTAAAGACAATCATGCCACTATCATGACCTGCTGCCAACAGATTCATCTCTGGGTGAGCAGCAAGAATCCAGAATCGGTCATGCTCTCGGCGGAAGGTTTGAATTCCAGTTCGTTTTGTCACATCCCACACCCGAATACTCTTATCCTCAGAATTGGAAACAATAATGTCCTGCTTGGCATGAAACATAACACATGACACATTATTCATGTGCCCTCTTAATGTGTCCACCTCCCAAGCCTTGGTTTCTGCAAACAAGAAAAATTCACCTTAGTTACAGAATTTTATCCAAGGAGAAAAAATTATGTACAAAACAATGACTTGGGGGCTACAAATATTCATTCAGTTATCCAAAACAGGGGACATATCACTCACAGTCCCAGAATTTAAATCCTATTCAGTAGCAAGATTCCTAGAATTCATTTCTACAGCTTCTACAGTGGCCCTTTCTTGGTACCCTTATCATCTGTGCTCATTAAAGATTTTGCATGTTTGAAATACAGTAGAGAAGTTGAAACTAAGTTCTCTCAAATCAATGACAAAGAGCATATAGAAAACTTTAGAATGATACATTTTCAGAAGCCTCCTTGAAAACTGTGTACCACAAGTGTGTTCTAAGCAAGTCTGAAAGGTCTACCAAGGTCTTGTACTGCAACCATGTTGATTTCTAGGAAGATTTTTCATCATATCTCTAGTCCATGAAGACAACAAAGAGAAAAACAGTTTCCATAAAATTACCGTTCATGCGCCACAATTTCACTTGGCGGTCATCTGCCCCTGATACAATCAAAGGCAATGTGGGATGAAATGCAGCCCAGTTGACTCCTCGATCATGACCTTCCAAGACATATTTAACTACAGCATCAGCACCACCAAAAAGATCAGTGTTCATCTGACTCAACCGCAAAATGTCATCTGCTGGCGACACAGTCTTCTTTCTCAAGGCACCAATATCCCAAACACGAACAGTCTGATCGAGGGAGGCCGAAACAACAAGGTCTTCTTTAGGATGAAATGAGGCACACATGACATAATGATTATGACCGGTCAAAACAGAAACGCACGTGCGTGACTGCCAGTTCCAAATGCGAATAGTCTGATCATCGCTGGCACTAACAATCCATGGATACTCATGATGAAACTGTACAGTACGGATATAATCAAGATGTCCGAGAAGGGTAAAGAGACACCTATGCGTCTTATAGTTCCAAACTTTTATCTTGTAGTCATCCCCTGCAAAGCCATTAATTTTAGCATTATATGCAGTGCATTATTCTCTACCAAAGTAATTTAAGCATAAGATCATAAGGCTATGGGGATAAATCTACCCTAATAAAACTCCCAAATCTATACATTTTTTACTCATCCCGTGCAAATATAGAATGTTTTATAAAAGTAAACTCATCATTCTATCTTGATTTAATACTGAAAGTACTGAACCTTAAATCTACATTTTGGCTGTCATACAAGAGATCAATTCAACTACAGTCCCAAATCCAATCCAACTCTAAGGAATCAACAAAGTGCTACCCACCATCTTTCTGGTTTAATAGATCTAAAATGTTTAAACCCATTCATCAACTATACATGGTTATATAAAATATATATATATATATCCATTCTACACTTGGATATAGTACGCAAAATTAATCTGCGTCGATGATGTTCTTGAAAGCATCATATTGATGCAGTCACATGAATTTCTCAGTCCCATGCCTCAACACAAAATGAACAATCCTATACATTAATTTCTTAAACCTACATGCTAATCATCATCTGCAACAAATAAAATTAAGAGCTCAACCTGAATCATGAGAATTAAATTTAAATTCACAGATCACTTCAAGTAAAGCTCAACAAGATTCAAGGATAACACCAAGCATCAAAACTAAAGCAAAGATGAATCGAGCGAAGAAAAAAAAAAAGCACCTCCAGAGACAAAGAGAGGCTGAGACTGATGGAAATGGACGCCACGAACGGGACCATCGTGCTCGTCGAATCGATCAATCAAAGTTCCCATCCGATAATCCCATAGCTGGATCACGCCACTGTGAAGACTAGCAAGAATCCACGGCCTCTTACTGTGGAAACTCAGTCCCTTCACTCTATTACTCTTCGTCTCAAACTTTGTCAACATCTTCCTCTCCTTCTCCGGTCCCCAAATCACTACAAAATCAACCAAATCAAAAACTAAATCAACCAGTTCTTTCTTAATTCGAAGAAATGCAGAAATCACAAATTGAATTGGAATTCGAATTTAAATCTGCGGCTAAACAGCAGCATTGAAATTCATTTCATTTCAATTTCAACAAAGCTAATCAAATTGAACACACAGATCTAGGAGACGCAATTGAATTGATACAAAATTGGAAGGTGAAGAGATTTACCTCAGATCTGATTAGTGTAGGATCGGAAGAGAAAGCATCTGAATTTTACGAACAAGATCAGATGCGCCAATATTATTAAAAAAAGAAAACATTAGGGCATGTTTGGTTTTGAGAATTATTGAGAAAAATAAATTTTGTTTAAATTGTTAATTTTCTTATCTTTGGCCAAATTTAGTTAAAAAAAAATCTTAAAGTGAATCTTAATGCAAGCAAAAAAAAAAAATTACTGCAAAACTAAAGAAAAAATATTATTAAAAAAATAAACGGTTGCTTGTAATATGTAAATTTAATTTAATTATTAACGGAGGGACAACTCTCTCAATATAAGTTCCTACTCCTAGTTAATTAAAAAATGTGCAATCTATCCAAAAAATACATTTTTTAATGTTTAGATATCAAAAAATACTATTATTACAATATTAGGTAACATTATAAGTTTATAATATAATATGTTATTATATAATTGATATTTTTTATTTATGGTTTATAAATGATATTTTATACATCCATTCGTTTAATATCATATAATATTTATTTAATTTTATGTCTAATTATAAATTTATAAATTTATATTACATTATAATTGTAATATTTCCACATTGCCATAGTAACATTGGGAAAGTTTTTCCCAAAACCAAACACAGCCTAATAGTATGCTGTGTAAGTGTTTGTTATTGGGTACATGTGGCTGTAATTTGTTGCAATGAAGATTAGCCGTTGGATTGACTATGGATGGCGTAGATATATCAAAAAGTGCCCCAGTGAAATCCATTTCGGATTTACATAATCAATTTCCACTTCTTCTGTAGTTCAATTTAATGCTTGTTTTCTTGGCTTAATTGTTTTGTTAATTTTTTGATGGATACCATAGTTGATCCTTTCGTTTTCTTTTTTCTTTTTCTTTTCTTTTCTTTTTTTTTTAAAATTATTTTGACATGAAAAAGAAAAACAAATACGTAAGTGTTTTGTTGCAGGACAAAACACCAACCACGATGACCCCACACCATTTTATTGGTAGAACAGAAATACCAAAATATATTTTTAAAATGTACTAATACTTAAATAATTTAGTGATTATCATCTCTCGTTGAAAATAAAAAATTCTGAATTCAAGTTACATGGCATGCGAGTGAGATGTGATAAGAAATTGAAGATTGTTGTCTCATATTGTGCAACTAATATATAAAAAAAAACATACTAATACCATAAATTAAGTTATGATTATGGCTTATATTAAATTTGTTAAAGTTATTAAAAATATTAAATTTATATCTTAATTTGAATATTAAATATAGCTAATAATTTATTTAAAAAATTAATATTTATTATTTAATATATAAAAATTAATTTATAATAAATATATTTAAATATCATAATCAAGTTTTTTAAAAATTTATAAATTAATAAAATTACATTTAAAATTAGTAATCTTAACAAAATTTTAAGTGACAATAACTTTTGCTTATAAATTTAGTACTTGTTTTATAGTTGTAATTGCATCAAAATTGTACAATATTCTTTTTATATAAATTAATAACTTAATTTTGTACTATTTATAAGACATTTTTATATGATTTGTTGCTTTTTATAAATTATATAATGTAATTGATTTTTATTTTCTATAACAATAGTGAAAATAGTTCCCATTATATTTAACTCAACTCATGTCTAATGTAAATTTTCTTGTTTAACACATTTTGCTCACGTACACACTCACTGTGAAAATCAAGTTATCATAGAGTTAAAGACGGGGTATGACGATTAACAGGAAAGTGAAAACGAAGACAATACCAGCTGATACTTTGCAAAAGAAGGAGAAGAAAAAGAAAACTGCAATGA